TGTGATTTTTCAAACCAAATAGTTTGCCTGCTTGCTCATATGTGAAAAGATTAGCTTGACTACTTACTCATATGCGAAAGATACCTCGCAAGAAAAAACAATAGATGGCACTCCAATCAAAAATTATTACATGTGTGTTAGTAACAGCATAAAATTTGCGTTTGTGTTGGAGTTTCGGTCACGCTGGTTTTGCTGGGTTATAGAGTGTGGTTTTCGTACTTGAATTGCCTACTCAGTTCAAAGTAGCACTTGTTGGCAAGAGTTATTCTGCGTTGGATTTACATGCTGATATTATTGTCGGTGTTAATGCTATTTCCCAAGTAACCGAAATTCTCTAGTTTTTCGAAATTATAATTGCCAACAGTGACGTAGATGCCAAGGATCGATTGTGCTGACTGTTTGTTTGATGACAGGGGATACTTTGTCTTGTCTTCGTTTACCACCAGAACCCTTCGCTTTGCTTCCGTATCCAACGTGGAAAGGGAAGAACAGACTTCGCCGGCTTTGTTACCGATGATGTCGATGTCATCGGCATACGCCAGCAATTGCACGCCCTTACAAAATATTGTTCCTGAGCGGTTCAGTTCTGCAGCTCTTATTATCTTCTCCAACATCAGATTAAAGAAGTCACATCACAGGGAAACGCCCGTCTGAAACCATGTTTGGTGGCGAACGTCTTGGAGGGGTCGACAACTATATGGTGAATCTCGGTCCTTTACTCGTGGGTCTTTTCCAAGATTTGGCGTATTGTGAATACCTGGTATATGGTGAATTTGCCCGGTCTGAAGCCACACTTATAAGGCCCAATTAGTTTATTGACGGTTGGCGTCAGTGTTTCACACAATATGCTCAATTAGACTTTGTAACCTTTGCTTGGAAGGCAGATCCCGCTGTAGTTGACGCGAATGGTCGTAGAGCACACTTAAATTCCAGTCGTCTTACATGCGTTAATGTGAGCATATTCTGTATAGAAGTTGATACACGCACAATGCCTCCTCGCCACCGTACTTGAATAACTTAGCTGGCAGGCTATCAGCTCCAGCAGCTTTGTTTTTTTCAGCAGCGCTATTGATATTCGTACCTTGTTATAGTCAGGCGGGGAAACATTGACTCCGTCATCCTCGACTGGGGGCTCGGGCTCATCTTCTTCATAACTTTCCGTGCTGCTACTACTCAGTAGGGTTGAAAAGTGTTCCCTTCATAATTAAAATACGTTCTGGACATAGCTAACTAGGTCGCCATTGTTGTTCTTACAGGAGTTCGCCCTGGTCTTGAAACCCTCCGTAAGTCGCCGCACTCACGTATTTCGCCATCTCTCTTCTTATTGCTACAAATACCTCTTACTTCTCTCGTCAGTTCCTTATGGCGGTCCCACATAGTACGCGTTGCGCCCGCTCGCAGCGTGGCCCTGTAGGCGGTATGCGAACACTTCTCATCGTACCAGTGGTTCTTTCTGCCTCACTGAAATCTGAATACTTCTGGCCAGAATTAAGCTTAGATATTAACCCTTTTAAGTCCACAATTATGTTACACCAGGATATATTTCATGGAGGGGGACAAGTGTCGTCCCTGAAAAAAAGTAGCAGTTGGGATGTTTTGGAATTTACTCCCAGTTAAGTTTGCTGAACCAAAGCGAGATATTATTAAGTAGTGCGGCGAGGCTACTATTCTGCCATCTCTTGCTATCTCTTTTAACAAGCTGTAAGTCGAGAGTAGAGGTGATAGCAAAACGTTGGGTTTGGTGTGCGAAGAGTTAACCTCTTTGGAGGTGATTACAACTATTATCATCTTTTGTTATATAGGCGGGGCTGATATCAGCTCGATAAATTATTTTCAAATTTGACATCATAAGGTCTAATGCTTTCTTAACCCTGGAAGGTCATCGTTATTTTTATAACGCAAAGGTCATCCTTCGTCGATTCGACGACGGCATTTCTAAAAGGCGTTATTAAATTAACTTGTGTATCAAAATGCTCAAAAATTATTATTTTCACATTATTTTGTTTATATTTTTTCTAAATAAAACAATATCAAGTATTTTTTCTTTAGTCTTTTGATTGTTATTCAAGATTTCACAGCTCTGATTCATTTGGCACAAAACATTAATTAGAAAATATAAAAAATAAATAACTTAAAGTACATATAATTCATTTAAAGTGTTTTTTCTTAAAACTAAAAAAGGAAAAAATTTTCAGATAAGACAGTTCTCATTTTGTGCAAGAGGCGCAAAGCTTTATTTTATGCTCTCCACAGAGACTTTTTTGGCATTTTGCACAGGATGATTTGTTAAGCGTCGCTTAGAAGGGGGCCAAATTGCGCAATTTTTTTTTTTTCGTCGATATAACTTTTGGTTGCATTCATCGTGTGTTATAACTGCACAAGTAAAATATATAAACAAATAAAAAAAAACTTAAGAAAATGACATTGAAAACATGAACGTAAAACATACACAAAGTTCATCCTTCGTCGTTTCGACTACGCACATTTAAAAAATAAGTACTTACACGAAGCGCATGAATCAAAGTAACCGCACACATCAACAGCACAACACCGTCTAGCGCTGTACGAAAAATTAGCACTATTTATACAAACAAAGGAAAACAGCGATAACGGTAAAATAAAAACTCGCGTCGTCGAAACGACGAACCATGACCTTCCTGGGTTAAGGTCGATAGGGAGGATGCCATCGACCTCAGGTAACTTCTAGGGGTAAAAGCTGCAAATAGTTTCCTGAATGCTGCCATCAGAAGTAGTACCAAGTGCCGTTTCCTTTAAGCTGGTAGCTAGGTATGCTTAGGTTTTTCCAAAGCATTTTGCTGCTGAGCTGCTTTCTATCACTTGACAGAATGTTTCCCACGGGGAAAGTTTTGCAGAAATAACTAGAAATTTAAATCTGCGTTGGCTGCTTTAACATTTGGTACATTTATTTTAGAATTTCATCCCTAATTCCTTGCGAGGGTTTATTATTTCGTGTGATCAGCATGGTGGTGCTTTTTCACCTTCATTTTAGTACATGCTGCTGTCGCTGCTTTTCGAGTGCTGAGTATTGCAATTGCGAGTTCGCAAGATCGTCGGAGGAAAATATCTGATGAGGCAGCGCTTAAACACCTCCCAGTTTTTTCGCCTGCGGCTTATGAACGCTCCAGGCAAACTTATGTAAATATTACACATATTTAAAATAAACGCACACGTGATTGGAGAAAGGCCTTGCTTATTAACGATTTTTTTTGGAAAGTTAAAAAAGTAAGATTATCCTCAACATTGCATACTCTAAAATTTTAGCTAAACAAAAACTCAGAAGTCATTCATCTTGATCGTTTGTGTTTGAGCTGCCCCAAATGTGATCATGTGCATTCCCATCAGAACTAATGAACGCAAATTCAAATAAGGTGGTAGCGGCAGCACAAGTACGAAAAAAAACTACTCTAACAAATTATACGCACAATGGCAATAAAAATACGACAAGTGTACAACAAACACCACTTTTTCTGAATTTGTCTTTGATTCAATGATCAAAGGAACGTCAAAAGTTTTCGCCTCGATTGCCGCCTTTGATATCAGTGCTGGCTGAGGTAGCATGTCATGGACCGTGCAGCTTTGGAAAATACAAGTTTTACCTTTATCTGTTGTGTCTATCACTTGGTAGCCTTTGCTTTACAAACCGCAAACATGATCTGAGATTCTGCCCAGGCCATGGAGCTGCCTTGCTTTTCTGTCATATCTTCCTGCCTGATATCTTTCAACCTCCCTTCCAGAGGCTCGTATCGCTTTGAAAGAGGGGATTGGCGTTCAGCTAGAGGGGTGGACACCAAGACCTACCGCTGTGGCCATATGACTCGATTCCACCAACATCGAAGCTGACGAGTGGCAATCCAAGCAGTCATATCAAGTTATCCTTTTTGTTTATAGTAAGCTAAATCCCTAGTGCGTAGGTTTAGGTCACCATTTAAGCCCCATCCCCACGACAAGGAGACGAACATGATGCAGTTGTTGGTTGGTTGTTAGAAACGTCGCCTGGGTACATTCCCAGGACCCACCCAATTAGTGCTGAAAGCATCATTTTGATACGCTTTCTCTGGGACCCCTGATTTTATCTGCTTTCATAATTCGTTGGGTTCGTCAAACCATTTGGATTTTCCGATGAATCTATTTAGGTTAGTAATGGTAAATTTAGAAATTTTTTGGTCATGAGCTCTCCGTCTAATACTTACATACTCTGTTCCGGTTGACATGGCACATTCCATATAAGTATGTAAATTTAAAAAGTATTTGGTTTCTCCTGTAAATTTCCAAATTTGTCAAATAGGGTGTTTTGCATTGATGGTGACACTATAATAAACTTGCGTTCACAATATATATCTCTGTATATATATATATATATGTATTTGTCTTACCAAAACCAAGTGATTCAAGTAAATACAGTTAAAGGCTAAAAGAGGTAATACAATATATCGACTATAGGCCCAGTTTAGTGACTATGTTTGATCCATGAATGTCAGACATTAAGTATAATAAGTTAATAAATCTGCCAAGGTATTTCATTTAAACTTTTTAATTCTATGTTTATTCCATCGTCCTCATCTGCACACTTGTGTGTGTGTGCATATAAATCTGTGTATATTAAAAAAATTTTAGGTTACTAAGATGCACGGTGGATCCGTGGAACACTTCGGTGTTCGGTATGAGGCAGGTGACGTTATTGGTTGTTTTATCGATGTCATGGAGCGAACCATCAGTAAGGATTAAAAGCAAGATGTTAATAATATCTATATAAGTGTTTATTATTCGCTGGTTTGTTCATTAATTACATTACATTAATACAATACATACATATAAAATAATGAAACCATCTTACGGTCATATATTTAAAATAACTAGCGATCATAAGATACATATAAGATGTATACGTATAAGCAGATATAAAAGTAAAACAAAAGACATGTGTATTTCGATTATTGTTTGTTTAAGAGCTTTTTCTGTGCATATTTGCTTAACCAAGTATTTCTATNTATTACAACATTCAACTGAACTTTAATACAACACATACATATAAAATAATGAAACCATCTTACGGTCATATATTTAAAATAACTAGCGATCATAAGATACATATAAGATGCATACGTATAAGCAGATATAAAAGTAAAACAAAAGACATGTGTATTTCGATTATTGTTTTGTTTAAGAGCTTTTTCTGTGCATATTTGCTTAACCAAGTATTTCTATTCAACTACTTTTAATAAATTAGGAGGAAAAAGTTTCCGGTGGCACCTGTGAATCTTTTGGTAAACAATGCGGGCCTGGTGATATTGTCGGCGTGTTCTTAGATCTCGCCGATCATACAATCAGTAAGAAATAAAATTGTTTGTCCGTGCCCTACTTTTGGTATTTACTAAAAACTTTTTTTATTTTATATAATATATTCCTTTTGACAATCCTTTACATAACTGTATAATTATACAGGCATTCCATTTTGTTCATACACCGTAATCTAGGGAATGAGATATTTAAAAATTGGCAAAGAAACCCTGGCTTTTTATCAGCGACCGGAACTCCTTGCTGCCCTTGCTTTACAAACACAATACACACTTTTGTACTATAATGCAAACATAATTGTGTTTATACAAATAATATCGAATTTTTGAGTTACATAGCTCAGCTTTAAATAATCGAAGTTAACAGAAAAAGATTTTAAAATAAGAATACAGAGATCCTTAGTCGGTTTGTATACTTAAACCAACTTCCTTTCATTATTCGAGCTTTATAATTTAATTTATTTATAAATTTAAAAAGTTTTAAAGGTAACCAACTATCCTTTAGTTCCGTGCGCAAAAGTGGAAGGCTTTTGACTGCCATCCACCTGGGAGTGGCCAAAAGTGATTATTGTGCGTCCGGTTCAAATCCAACTCACAACGTCCGGATATTTACATCCACGTATTCGCGTGCGCTGGGTTGGGGCCCCGCCACGTTAAAACCCCGCCTAATGAAAAAGTTCAGAAAGCCTCGGATGATAAACGACTATGATTTGAGGGTATCATAATAGATTGGCGCTTAATCATATGTTAGAGTTTGGCCGACCTTCTCCTCCGATTTTTGGCGTGCGCCTTGATGTTGTGACACAGGGGGGACGGACCTACAGTTTTACGCCGACTCCGAACGGCGATTGCATTTTTATGAGANGCTTCTCCTCCGATTTTTGGCGTGCGCCTTGATGTTGTGACACAGGGGGGACGGACCTACAGTTTTACGCCGACTCCGAACGGCGATTGTATTTTTATGAGAAGCTGTTTTTAATGGCAGAAATACACTCGGAGGTTTGCCATTGCCTGCCGAGGAGCAACCGCTGGTAAGAAAAAACTGTTTTCTTAATTTTTTTTTGCGATGTTGCTTTGGCCAGCGCTTGAACCCTGGCTCTGCGGAGTGGAAGCGCGCACTGCTTACCACTACACCATATCAGCCAATANACTGTTTTCTTAATTTTTTTTGCGATGTTGCTTTGGCCAGCGCTTGAACCCAGGCCCTGCGGAGTGGAAGCGCGCACTGCTTACCACTACACCATATCAGCCAATATTTGAGGGTATGCACCTTGAATATCCGGATTCTTAATGGGGAAGGTGGCTCTGCACGGCTGGTTGATGTCCTCGGGAAGACAAAAGCTGACCACCGCCATCCAAGAAATGCGATAGACGGAGCCAGGCAAGGTAAGCGTGAAGCCCTACGGGGTCTACTACAGCTGCCACGAAAAGAAGGCAAATTCGATGTTGGATTCGTCGTAGGAAAGAGACCCCGTCACCGAGTACTAGCGTTCAACCCGGTGGACGAACGTCTAGCCACAATCCGCATCAAAACGAGATTCTTCAACATCTCGCNAATGGGGAAGGTGCCTCTGCACGGCTGGTTGATGTCCTCGGGAAGACAAAAGCTGACCACCGCCATCCAAGAAATGCGATAGACGGAGCCAGGCAAGGTAAGCGTGAAGCCCTACGGGGTCTACTACAGCTTCCACGTAAAAGAAGGCAAATTGGATGTTGGATTCGTCGTAGGAAAGAGACCCCGTCACCGAGTACTAGCGTTCAACCCGGTGGACGAACGTCTAGCCACAATCCGCATCAAAACGAGATTCTTCAACATCTCGCCCATCTGGGCCCATGCTCCGACGGAAAAGGAGAGCGAGACGTCCAAGGACGAGACGTCCAAGGATCTCTTCTATGAGCCCCTGNGCCACGAAAAGAAGGCAAATTCGATGTTGGATTCGTCGTAGGAAAGAGACCCCGTCACCGAGTACTAGCGTTCAACCCGGTGGACGAACGTCTAGCCACAATCCGCATCAAAACGAGATTCTTCAACATCTCGCTCATCTGGGCCCATGCTCCGACGGAAAATGAGGGCGAGACGTCCAAGGACGAGACGTCCAAGGATCTCTTCTATGAGCCCCTGACACGTGCTCGGCCCAAATATGCAAGGAAAGCTGCAATCACAACGGACCTCCAATTTATTCGCCACTCGACTCACACACCTGCTCTCTGAGAGCTCTCTTCACCAATCAGAAATACGCGAGAAGTGGGACCACATGTCCCCATCAATAAGTACCGCCGCCGAAGAAGTAGTAGGATTTCATCGAGCCTGAAAGAACAATTGGTATAAGAAGGAAGGTTAAAAAAGCGCAGAGAAAAAAGACGCCGCCTATTGGACTACGCTGCGATCGGGCGCAACGCGAGCCATGTGGGACCGTTATAGGGAACTGAAGAAGGAAGCGAGACGTATTTACCGCAACAATATAAGAGAGACGCCGAAATAACTGAGTACGAAGAGATTGAGATGCCGACAGGAAAAACGCCCGAAAATTGTATCAGAGAGTTAGGCGACTTGCGGAAGGTTTCAAGGCCAGGGCGAACTCCTGTACGAACAACCATGGACACTTAGAGACTAATAACCAGAACGTACTTAAATTATGGAGGGAACACTTT